TCCACAGAGACCCTACATTTCGGCCTCATATCACCCCATGCACGGATAAGTAAGATCTCCTCCAAAATCATCACCAAAACCAGGCAGTTTAAAATGTTTTCTAGAAGATATCAACTGAGCAGTAAAATTGAGGCTTAAACCCCAATCTCTGAATCCCAAGTAACTTTTTTTTTTAAAAGAAGTTTCTTAAGAAAGGACGAAGAGAACACTTGCTGGCTTTGCATTTAATCCCCAGGACCAGGAGAGTAATTGGGTTATAAGAGGTGTTCAGTGTATGCTTGTGGCCTTAATGAAAGAATTAACAAATGAACACATCATGGTTYGATCAATTATTAAAGCGTTTGGTTTAACTGAAAAAAAAAAATCTCTGAAGCTGGTAAAACAAAGTCAATTCTAATACTCATATGACTTCCACAATGCAGAAAATATTTATCTATTGTGTGGGCATTATGTTCCAGGTTTCTGCAGAGCACAGGGCCTGCAGCAGTGAGTTTGAGAAGGATGCTTACTGCCTTCAAGGAGCTTACAGACTTGCAGGAAGGGCTGCATGCAACCTCTGCGTCCATCTACCCAGATCATGTTAGCTGTTTAGGAATTCACAGCCATCATCACTCCGCTTAGCTTGACCACTTCGTCACCTTAGCAAATCATCAAGTCACCTAWGAAGCTATAACTAACAGAACTTGCCATTTTTAACATTCTGTATAGATTTCAAATATGGAATTTCTGCAGGGTGCCGGCGCACAGAGAGTCTTTAATTTTTCCTAAGGGTGTTTTCATATTATTTCATCTGAAAAGAAACCCAGCAAACAGTGATTCCTCATAAAAAGAAAAGTACACAGAAGCAGAGTAGTTTTATTCAAGGTCGTGCTACYCATCGATGACAGAACCGAGATCAGAAATCCTGTTTTATAATTCCTAGTGTGGGGCTCTTCGTAATGTGCCCTGGGGTTTCCCACAAACACAGACCATTTGCTTCTCTTCAGTGTAAGTGCTATTTCCAAACCCCTGGCATCTTCAGGAAGAAGGGGACAGACACTGCATGACCTAGCAGGAAACCAGAAGCCCTAGGACTCTKGAATGCCATTATCCTGAGTTCAACTGCAGGAAGACTGTCTTCACGGACAGTCAACCCTGCATACAGATACCTACTGCAAACACAGAACCCTTAACCTCATCTGGACTTTGAAGATGGTACGTGAGCTAATAAGAAGCATGCTGGCCATATTAAGAAATGTCCCTCCAACTCAGTCCTTCGGAGAATGAATTCTGGAACATTTTTTTTTTTTCCTAGGATCCTCAGAGAGAAAAAGATGTAAATACGGAGAGAGAAGCTTGCTTCACATGTAAACCTCATCACCTACGAGATCTGGGAGGGAAGATCTCAGTTCACAGAAGACTGGAAGCCACTGTCAAAAAAAAAAAAAAAAAAAAAAATATATATATATATATATATATATATATATATATATATATCTCCACCATTTTTGATAGGTAGGCAATACAGGATGATTTCTTTGAATAGGCTCCTTCAGAATCTTCTCCACCATCTCTAGGTAGTTACACTTTATTGGCATCAGGATTTAGTGACAGAGTAATTTCAAAGGAGGCAGTACCATAGACAAGTTTTACAATAGAAACTAAAAATGGATCCTTGCCCACGGAGGTATTTCTAAGGTCAAGAACCAAAAACCGACTTCTACTTGGAATCGTTTTAAGAATTTAAACCTCTCTCTGTAGCTCCTTTTTTTTTTTTTTTATTCTTCCCATATATACAATTGAGTCTTGCAGAAAACCAGAAGTCTGAGAAGGTTGAAGTTTTCCTATGCTTTGAGATCGACATGAAATATTCAACTCCATATGAAATCAAAGAAAAATATGTGCTGGGACTCAGTGTTCTGTGTTGGAGTTTTGGGATGCGGCCTTATTGAATTTGCCAAATGGGCCAGATCATCTCAAATCCTCCTCTAAAATGTCCCACCCACCGAATGGATGGTGTCTCCTTCCGCGATAAACCTTGCATTTTATAATCAAATAATCAAATCTAAAATGTAATTTCCCAGCCAACCTCTGTGCCCAACACTCTGTCTCTGGCTCTTAAGGTATTTAATTCCATTTGCTTTGGAAATTGGATACCTGCCCCAAGACACACATACACATGCACACATGCATCAGAGAGAGACATATTAAATCAAATAACCTGAATCCGTAGGTTCTACCTGTAAGGAGAAATATTTTGTGGCAATACCCACCATTCAAATAAATATTGTCCTCTCTGAGTCATGGGGTCCACTGCGGTCGATATTTTCAAGCTAAATGCAATCAGTTTGCTAGAACTTGGGATCTGTCCTGGTAACTCTGTCTTGATAGTAGCTAGAATCTCCTTAATGGACTCTACTATCTCTACAATAAACAGTGGTTCCTTCCTTCTCCAATTTTCCCCTTTCTACTTGTTTGGAAGTCTCTGTTAAAAGGCTGCTAAAAGCCATTAAGCCAACACAAACAGAAGTGTCAGTGCCGAATTCCCCAGTAAGAGGTTTAAACCCTGCACTTAGCGAAACGAAGTCAGGTCAGGAGGCCAGGACAGGACGGGAAGCACCCAGAGACACTGGCTCTGTGACCCTTAGCAAATTACTGCTCCGTGTAATCGACACAAGCTAGAGATGYGTGTCCATAATTACTGCATTTTGCTGGGTCTCAGTTATTGTTTTTTTTTTTTTTTCAACCGTTTAGAGCTTGCATTTAAGGAGATGATGTGTTTCTTTCCTTGAAAAAAAAAAATACTGTAATGAAATCCTAAAGCAAGAAGGGGGTMGAAATGCGGAAAAAATAACTAGCACTCAGAAATCACAGGGGTCATCTCTTTCATCACAAGAAGACGGGGCCGAATCTGAGTTATGAGTAACTGTTCTGAGGCTAAAACAGACCCCACATGCATGCTATAAGGAACAAATAAAAAGCAGATAAAAACCTGAAAGTTTGTTTTAAAAAGTGGTCCCCTTGTGCTCTATTTATTTATTTTTCTCATTTTCTTACCTTTCCCTAACCCCTATTTTCCTTTTTCCTTCTCCTCCCCACGCATCCTATGACTTGGTCTTAGAGGTCACGGGAGGTGAGTGGCAGTCATTTTGGCTCTTTGGCATCGCACTTTAGAGTCATCTTATTATATGAGGCAGAGCTCATCCATTTAACCAGACCCACAACAGCAGATATCAGGTATCAGCAGATCTCTGCCGCTTTCCTATTCCACAGCAGTGTATTCAAACCTTGATTAGATTTTAGAAATGCAAGAGGAAATATTGGAAAAAGCATCCACATCCCAAAGCATCAGGAGTCCTCACAGCAACCGCCCAGACAGCGGATATGGAGAAAGGGGCCCAACAGGGAACAGGACTCCAGGGTTCCCTTCTCCTTTCTTTGCACCGTGGGTTTGAAGCACCTGCCTTCATGGCTGTAGGCATTTCCCCCAGGGTGATTTTTCTTGAAAGCTGGGGATGCTCTACATATCCTCTCTTTCTGACTCATTGATGCATCTCACACACAGTTACCGTTGAGTTTTGGGTCTGTGCCCAGGCTCGGGGCATACCAAGATCAGTTCAACCGAATTCCTATCTGGAGAAAAGCTTTCATCCAGGGATATAAAAATCTCTGGAGGAAGGAGAATGAGGAAGAAAGCAAGCCCTCAGGAATATCTCTCTCTCTCTCTCTCTCTCTCTCTCTCTCTCCCCTACATCTCATTGCACACATGGAAAGCCTGGAAAGACAGTTGCTGGGACAATGTGTCACTTGATCTGACCAATGCAGATCTGTCTGTGGTTGTTGTATCCCTCTTCCTTGCCCATAGGTGTGATCTTGGCACTAGAAATACCAAAACAGGGTCTCACACCCAGTCTATGTCAGTGAGCGCACACACACACACACACACACACACACAAACACATATTGATTGATCGATCGATTGATTGATTGTTCTAGCTTCAGAGAGTCAATGCCAAATCCAGATTTTTAACTTTACCCAGAAGGCTGAACATTCTACAATGCTGAATCTAACTTCTCACAAACAACCATGAAGAGAACTCAGAGTTGTGACTGTTCCTTTTAGGTGTCTACTCAGACTCTGGTCCTTCACAGTCCTTTCTCCTGGGATGAATAGGTGCCATTTTTCATGACAGCTTCCTCTTTCTCTCACCTGGCCTCTACCTGCCTAACCAGGTATGGATATAAATTAGTGGTCTAATGGCCTATATGATGCTGAAGAAGAGTTCAATGGACTAAAGGGAACTTTTTCATATCTTTAGCAACGTGGCTCATTCATAGCAGGATGTCCCTGCCCACCTGATCCCTGTGTGACACCTGTGGGTCGTTACCACCCAGCTGTAGTTGCGGTCTGGTCACTTCTTTTGCATACAAGGTTCCAGGACATAATGGAATGGATGTGCTGTAAGCAGAGAGAAGCACCTGTCATGCTATTCTAGAGAGCAAGCCAGGGCTGCTCTAGGATTTCTGCAGTGCACACACATCCTTTCTTTCTCTACAGGTTCCTTTACCTTTTCTCTTATGTGGCAAATTCACTTTGTCATGGGGGAAACACCTGAGTGACTACCTAAAAACCACACCACCTTGTGTGTGCCTGAGTMTCTCTTCCATGTTCTTCTCACTGATTTCCTTCTCAGCAGGCCAAGTCAGAAAAAATGCCTTCAAACTCAGTGTCCAAAAAAGATCTTTCAAGGATATTAAAAAAATAGACCTATTCCAAGTGCATGGACCAAAACTAACACAGTCAAGTGACACAAACAGATGCTAGCATTTGAAGATACTTTTTTTTTTCCAGAATCATGCATAAAATGCATGCACCTCCGTGTATGCCTCTAGAAGTTTCTCATGGACAAAAAAAGTTGGGGAGACCTAGTCAACCCTGAACATTTTAGAAGACGCTCTGTTACAGAATATTTAAGTTTTTTTTTTTTTTTTTTTTTTTAAGAAAACGAAGATTGTTTTACCTTTTGCTCTGTCTCACGTTCTCTGTCCCTCTTTTCCAAGAGATAGCAGCTCTGGGGAAAGCATTTGGTTTGCATTCGATAACAATTTCCCCACCAACTTGAACAACGGAGTTTTTTTTAATAGGGATTCTGGAGAAATCCGGAGCAGAGGCTAAGAACAAAATTAAAAATTAAAGTGTTAAATGACTTAATTAACACAGAGCGACTTGGGAGGTAGCTCAGTATAATAGATAGAATCTAATATTTGTGGTCAGAACTCTTTTCTCAAGCTGTCCTGGGGCCAATTGCTGACAACATTTTGGAGTCCCTGCTTCAATTTGTAAAATGCAGATGACGATAGATATTACCCGAGCCGGTCAAGGTGAGGATTAAAAGAAATAACAGTTGTCAGTGCGACAGCATAGTACCTGGTACCGACTCTGTGCTCCATAAACGTGATCTATTGTTGCGTTGGTTGTGTTCATTGAAATAACAGAAGCAAGTTGGTAGAGAGGAAGAAAGTTAGAAAAAGCCACGTTCGTAACACATTGCTATAATATGAGTATTATGCACACACTTAGGTTATGTTGAACTTGCCGTTGGTTCTGATAGCAACAATTTGTAGCTATAAGAAATCCCACCACATTTTAAATTTCAAATTTATTGGTTTTTTTTCCCAGTAACACTCTAGGTTCAGTGATGGTAAGAATCACTTTCATTTTAGTAAGTTTTTTAATCTTAGGGCTTAGTACATAATAAATAGTCAATAAAGTRAGTAAAGGAAACAAGAAATCAATGAATGACCAGTGCCCGGAAGCTTAGTCAAAGTGAGTCAAAGGTGTAAAAAATAATACTGCCAAGTTGACAGCTGCTGCCCCTCTTGTTAAAGTAAGTCCCCCTTTTGTTAAGTCTCTTCACATTGTGATTTTTCTTTTCGTGTGCATCGGAAGCTRAGTATCCCTTCTGCTTTGATTGGCAGCTGAAAATATCCTTAATGGGATTCATTTGAGTTGTATGCAAACCCTCCGGCCAGAATCAGGGTGGAGGAACCTCTTCTGATTTGAACACTCCCCACAGTAGGCACTTTCTCAAACATTACTGTGTTGTCCACGCAGAATGATAATTGTATCCTTAAATTGTGTGGAAAGCTTACTCTGATATTTCTCATTATTTCAAGAGAAAGCCATTTTTAATTTACAGGAAAGTCGTGTTCAGATCAGTATGATCGTCGCCCGTGATGGTGTAATTTTGCATTTTCTGGCTGTAAAAGAATGACTTACCTAAAACTCTCAACTCTGCATTTGCGTAAATGATCTGATACTTGTTTTCTGCAGTGCATTGGTAGACACCAGAATCCGACACATTCAGCATAGTTATGATGAGCGTGCCATTATCTATTTGAATTCTCTCCTAATAAAGGAAAAAACATATGTAAAGCTACTAGATCATGAATATAAGCACTTGCTTTACCAGAAGACGTTATTAAAAAAACGTGTGTGCAAATCTCTGAAATGTGATGCTTTGGTGTATTACTTCATGATCCTGAGACTTCTGAAGTTTTAAAAAAAATGGAAATATACTTAGTATAATTTTAGTGGCTAGAATATTTCATGCTATTTCATTTCTGGAAAAATTGGCACTGTTTGCACCAAATACATGTTAATTTTGTGTTAAATGATATATGAAGTATTTGGAAAAAATCTGCCAGTCCAGCAATTCCAAAAAAACATGGTTGACGGTGATATCACATAAATGTTATGGTTAGAATATTATCTGGACTTTGTATTGTAAGGCATTGAAAAGTCTTGAAATGTGACAATCTGACAATTTGCCACTTCAATTCTAAATGGGAGGATAGGAACTTTCCCTTACCACAGCYTACCGTAAAGAGAACCTCGACAACCAAAATCTGCTACTGAGTTCCATTTGGGGTATAGAAATACAATTTGAATATTATATTGAAATGGTACCTGGTACAATTTTAACGTAAAACTGCAAATTTCAATGTAACTTTCTCATTCTCGGAGGCTAGTCAACATAGGCTGGGGGTCCCGGTATCAATGACGATTATTAACAAAACATAGCARATCAGGTGAAGTTTTCCCAGCAACAGGGCTGCTTACCTCTGGGTGGATGCGTTCGCCATTCTTCAACCACGTATACCAGGGAGCTGGCTTTCCGCTAGCTTTGCACTCCCAAAACAAGCTGTCATAGATAGAGAGGTATGTATTTTGGATTTTTTGTTCCCATTCTGGAGGAGCTGTTTGAAAAAAAAAAAAAAGGCAAAAATAATTGGCAAGGCAATCACCTAGGACACGGCTCTGTTCCCAGGACCAGGTTGACTGGGTCCAGAGAAAAGGCATACATGTGATTTGAGAGAGGGCACATACAGGAGCTTCAGTGGGAGTAACAGAAGTCTGCTGCAAATATCATTAGGTATTCGGCTGAGGTTCAATATTTGCTATCTGTCCTTTTGCTGTACCTGCAGGACCAGCCAGAAGTAAGATCCAAATGGAGAATAGGGCCAGAGAATGATGTGAAACTCAAGGTGAGAACAAAGGTCAATTTGGAAAATACAGGCCACATCTGAACCCACTGTGAGACAGATTTGGTCTCAGCTAACAAAAAAATGAAGCATATCTTTTTAGGAAACAATCACAACTCAATAGCTAGGAGCATCAACCAAATGTGAGCCTCCACATTCTACAGGATGACAGTCCGATACTTTTGGATTCTCTGGAGTTTGATATAGATGCAGTACCTAACTTTGATCCTGAGTACAGGCCTTCCGAAAATATTATTTTCCAATATGAAAAAGTACTGGGGCAAAAAGAAAATGTACACATGATATGAATATAAGGTGGTATTAGCTCTCACGATTATTCGTGTAAACAGGTGGGGTACCCATTAATTGTTTTAAAATGAGTATTTCTTCCATGAAGATGATTGGAAACTGTCCAAACATGCTAATCGACCCCCCTCCTTTATTTAGTTCTGACCTGGTATATGTAGGAGCAGAAGGACTTTCCCTTGGAATCTTTGGTGATGACGAGTGAGATATTTTAAATGGGTCATAGCCATTAATTTTATTTGTAGTCAATTTTTTTTTTTGCAGAGATTTAAGATAACCTGCTCAAGATGACAAATTTAGAAAMGAGAGAAGTCACAATTTGTATTCTACGAAGATAGCCTAAGTGAAGAMCTGGTGTTTAGGATGTTTGTTTGGGAATTCGATCCCAAAAGGAAACTATCAGAGAAAGGGTAATTCCATAGGGAAACAGAGAGAGAGTCAATGCAAGATGAGTTATGGAGTTGACCACCAACAGGGGCCATTTTCACCCCATCCCAGGTAAAGAATTCTAAAGAGTCTTTGTGCACTTTCTACTCAGGGGGAAGCATTTATTCACTAGTTTTTGTTCATCRTCACCTCAGGGTAGTGTTGGTATAGACTACCAGCACGGACAGGATGCACATGCGAAAATGCTAAGCAGGTTCCTAAAGAGACCAAAATGGTGCACAACATAAAACCCAGGGCTGTCTGACTTTCAGATTTTTCTACTATAACATCTGCCTGTAGGGAGACAGTGGTCCTTCAGGACCCCTCTCATGGCGGCGGGTGGGGGGGGACTTCTCATGATATCACTGGTGTGGAAAACTAAGGGCAGGAATTTCACCAGTGAGCAATCAGTGTAACAACCAGTTACAGAACATGTCTTCTAAAGCCTTGGGGGACAGATCCAGACAACTAACAGGGTGTGATGATAACACTGAATCTTGTTCCTTCATGTTATTAATCAAATTTTTAAATCTGTAGATACTTGTTGGAAAATTGTCTTAGTATACATTTGACCTCGGAGGAAAAAAAAAATCATATCCATATACAATCTCAAGAGCTCACAAAGCTTTTTAATCTAATTCTTCGCTTCTTGTCATAATTCTAGCATTAACTGAATGTCAACATTGTCTGGATGCTTAGCATCCTGATGAGCAAAGTGTTCAGTCTTCAACCATATAGCAATTACATGGATAAAAGCTTAGATTTTAGTGTCTACCATACCACCATGAGTTTTAGATTTTTTTTTTTTTTTTTTTTTTACTTCTATCAACGAGTAATAGAAAATCACCGGACTTCTCTGACCATGTTCTCTTCTTTTGTAGTGGTAATAAAACTTTAGAAGATCCTTTTGGATGTTAAGAGACAACATGGAGAGGGATTGATAGTATTACTTATCTGTGAATTATAACTTAAGCAGTAATGTAATGAAACAGCTCTCAAATGTTTCACCTGCTCATCTCTGAGATAACTGAGTCCAGTCTCTCTCTCTCTCTTTTTTTTKGGGGGGGGAGCACTTTGGCAAAGTACTTAATAGATGACTGAGAAGTATAATGACTCTCTTATTGACCAATCATCCATTATCCCTCCCCACAAGGAACGTGTGGATTCTATACATGGCTGATTTAGATCATGGTGAGATGGAGTGTCCAGGACTTGGGTGACCATGTTGAAGAGTTTTGCGAGTTTAAAAAAAAATCCAGTTTCAGAAGTCCCTTCAAGATCTCATTCTTGGACTTGACAATCGATATCTGTGAGATCTATTTCAACTCATCTCAACGTTTCTTACCTAGAGTATCACTGAAAGTGATTGCTACCTCTCAAGATGATTGTAAGAATTTCAAGAATTAWTATATGCAAGATTCTACGAAAGCTAATAGTTACTGGATCATTGTAGAAGAAAGTACTTTATTATTCATTCCCAGTTTATAGATACCTTGGGTATTCTGGTTCATCTCTTGGTTATATCTTTGTTTATTAAATAGAAAAAAATGGGAAATATTTATTGAAAACTAGCCAAAGACTTTAATACCATGATTCTACTGAAAAAAAAAAATCCGAATTTCTTTCTTACTGTTTCCTTGACACAGGATACTAAATTCCAAAGACTTTCATTTAAAAAGCAGTTAGTATTAAATWTTTCTTTTCTTGGGAAACATTGATAAAACTGCTAGGGAATCATTGGTAGGAAATCATACTCTATATTTAAAATAGTAGTTTTCATTTTGAGTTAAAATTGAAAATTCTAAAAGAAATGGAAAATAATATAACCAAGGCACAATATGTTATCCACATAGGACACTGAATTGGCATTCCCATGACTTTTCTAGTTAACCCAAAGATAATTATTTTTTTCCCAATATGTTTGTCATTGATTTTAAACATGTCACATAGGAGAATATTTTTAGATATGTGTAAATACACTTTTAAAAGCTTCTGTGATGTAGGCTTCAAATTTTTCAAAGATATTAAGGATGTTTTAAAAGCATCCAACATTTTAATAATTCCCAGGTATATCTTATGGTGCATTTGATGTAAAAAAAAAATAATAGTTCCAAGCAAGTACATATTTTGGCTTGGGTGAAAGAGAGTGTAGATAATTTTTTTAGATAATTTATTAATTTATTATCTCACTTAGTTCATAAGTGATTTTGGTACATATATATTTTAATGAGGTAATACCCTTATTTTTCTGTGYCCTTCACATGGGCAAAGTCTACAATAAATGGAAACAAATACTGCAAACCACCATTCAATATGATATTTTTCCTATCATTTTACTAAATTCCACTTTAATTATAATTAAGACCACCATAAGCTGCTGCTGCTGAATGWTTTATAGAAGATATATTGGAGTCCCTGCTACCTTATAAGTTTTTTGTAGCATCAATATGACATGGCTGATATTTCCCAGGCAATTGTAATAAACAATACCTTGGTGACAGGGTGTATTTTAGAGATGGTCATTCCTACCTGTCAATCATTGTGTTAAGCACCCAACCTGGAAGTGCATTTCTCCTATAACATGATAATGACATTTGCCATTCACTGAGTGATATCACGGAATATTTTATTTGCTCACCATAAAAAATCAGCTGACCCTTGGCCAGGTTTCTTCCTCGAAGATTGCCTGCAAGGCACTCATAGAAGCCTTCATCTTCTTGTCGGAAGCTGGGGATTTCCAGGACGGCTTTGGATTTGCTGTATTTGACTTTCCCTGGCAACGGGCTTCCGTCCAACCTCCTCCAACTAATATCAGGGACTGGACTAAACAGTTAGACCTCATTAGAACAGATGACGGTTTAATCTTTATGACCGAAGGATAAAACAAGAGCATCCTTAAAAACAATTCTGGAGAAAAAAAAATTCCATCAATCTATGGTATCGTGACTCGTTTTCCGATCGTGCAATCATTCGCCATTCACTCATTCATTTATCGAACTCTTGATTAAGGACCTGACTTGTGCCAGTCACTGTACTAAGCTCAGGGAATCCATTGATGAATAAAATAGACATAGGCTCTCTGCCCTCACATTGCTTAGAGACCAGCAGAGACGCATAACATCAACAAATAATGATAACAAACATACTTGCAATTTGTAATTGAAACAAAAGGAATAGGAGCCAGAGATAGTAATAAGATTGCATCAATTTAAAGGTGATAGTCAAGGAAATTCTTGGTGAGAATGTGGCATTTAAGACTCATCAGGCTTTGATATAAGGGGAGTAAACAAGGACAGGGTAGGGACRAAGAGCTTGAGAAGAAGATTTACATTAAACAGGGATGAGAGGTGGGAGGGAAAGGGAGTGAGAAGGGGAATCGCATGGAAATGGAAGGCGATCCTCAGGGTTATACAAAATGACATATAAGAGGAAAGGAGGGGTAAGACAAGATAATACAAATCGAAGAAATGATTTACAGTAGAAGGGGTAGAGAGAGAAAAGGGGAGGGGAGGGGAGGGGAGGGGGGATAGTAGAGAATAGGACAGACAGCAGAATACATCAGACACTAGAATGGCAATTTGTCAATCAATGGAAGGGTAACTGATGTGATTCAGCAATCTGTATACGGGGTAAAAGTGGGAGTTCATAATCCACGTGAATCAAACCGTGTAATATGATGTATTAAGAACTATGTAATATTTTGAAAGACCAATAATAAATAAAAAAAAGACTCATCAGGCTTTATATTTATTCACAGATTCTAAAGCAAACATGTAGATGCCTCTATATCTGAATTGATACCAACGGGTAACTAGTAAACATTGCAGATGGGTGCTTAGATTATAAAGGGGATTCAGTACAGTAAAACAGATCCATATAAATTGAGTTTCTATAATCCTCAAAAATTCTACTAATTTATATACTATTAAAAAAAATAAAGGTCAACTTATACCATACCCTGTCTCCTCTTAGAAAGGATTTATTTCATCTATAGAAATTGAGACTAATATCTCAAATCTGATATTTTTAGTTCAATGGGGGATGTTTTTAAATAAAGCAAAAATAAACTTTATAATATCTGAAATAAAGTATCCAACCTTAAGGAATGAGTTTAGGATCCCTGGTGTAGACGGTCTCAGGATCATAGGTATAAAGAAATGCAGGCTTGAAGCAACATGACATCAGGAAAACTTTCACTAATAAACTGCACGTTTGCAAAATGAATCTATGGTCTATTGAGACAAACATCTCTCCTTTCTTACTGTCTAGCCATTCTCATTTCYTGTAGATGTTCATATGATTTAAATATTTCCACTCTCCTTATATTTCAAATTAATAATAAGAAGTCATCCTGCAAAGTCCAATTGTTAAGTGTTGCAGGAGAGGTGGGTTTCTTCAAGTCATTGAAAGTCACATGAGAGATTCATCCAATCATACACAAAGGCATTGACACAAGATTTGTAGAGTTGGAGCAGGAAACAGCTCCCGGAAATGGGTGATGACCTGGGAGCAGATTCAAATATAGCACGGGAACTAATGAAGCCTTATGAATTCTTGCTGGCAGAACACTATGATCCTCTTGTGAACATCGAAGATAAAGCCCAGAAAACCATACCACATGCCCACAGGTACATGTCAGAAATCCTGTCCTAATCAATGTTTGGGTCAACTATTATTCTCAGAGTGACCATACATTTACAGTTATAACTTGAATTTTGTTAAACACAAAATGAAAAGAGTTACTATCCTAAATTTACCTTCAGCCCTTTTAAGAAGATTTCTCACCTGCCACAAATTTAGGTCGATATTTTATTAAATGGGCAGATTCCCATTTAATTGGATTAATTCCCACTCAATTWACCTTGAGTGACTGGTTTTCATACTTACTTTACGAAATGCCTAACCAATAAAAATGAAGTCCTAGAAGAAAATTCACTAAGAAAGATATCGATAAAATCTGGTAAATATCATATTATACATTTATCATTCATTTTAAACATGTATAGGCATTGCGTATGTGAAAATATTAATATTTTTGGGTATGGGTTGCTGGGATATGGATTTCTTACACTTTTCTTTTTCAGCTTATTTCTATTTTTTATGAATTTCCCACAATGAGCATGCACTACCTGTGCAATAAAAATCTTCTAAAGAAACTAATTTATAGGGGTTGGGGATTTAGCTCGGTGGCAGAGCGCTTGCCTAGCATGCACAGGGCCTTAAGTTTGGTCCTCAGCCCTGGAGAAAAGAAAAAAAAAAAGCTAATTTATAAAGAGAAAAATAAATAGAAGCTCTTAGACTTGTCTGAATCCAAGATGCTTTGTTGTCTTTTGATGGAAGTGCAACTCCGAAGCTTAGGACAGATTTGTACAAAATACCCAACTGAAAAAGCTTCTAACCTGAAGTATTCAGGCAAAAAAAAAATTAAGTAAAAATTATATTTTTTCTCCCAGATACGTCTTAGTATTTTCCATAGATTGTGAAGATAGAAGTCATTTTTTTTTGCATAACTAAATACTCACCTAATTATAATAATAATGGTAATAAAACTACCACAAATATTTCCCTTTAATTAAACACAGCCTCTGTGCCAGCTGCTGTGTAGGTGGACAGTATGTGCATTATGATTTTATAGACCTTTTCTGTAGCTAAAACAGGCAGAGCAGGGATTTGTRGCTGAGTGTTGTGGTCTCAGAAGAYAGGTGAAAAGATCATCCTGTAATAGCCTAAGTCTCTGCCCTTGCACAAAAGTGGGTTTCCATTGCCAGTGGCCCCACTGAGAGGAATCAAGAAGAATGAGTTCAACTTGTCCCAAGTATTCCAACTTTCTCAAGGAGAAAGGACTCGGTGACAAGACGGGGTCCCACTTGAAAAGCGCTTTTACCCTGGAGAGTAGAAAAGACCTATCCTGTACTGACATACTGTTCCAAGAGGGTGAAAAGATCAGCGCCAGGCTCCTAACCCTTCTGCATGTTATGCACCCCGGATTCCCAAGAACCTTCACCATCACCAGCCTGTACCTGCATCACCTGGTAGCAAAGACCTTCCAACTCCGAGAGCGGACCTCACCTTCACAGAGACAAAGCAGAAAGCACCCAGGGATTTACAGTCCCCCCCCCCACCCCACCCCCCCCCGGGAAGCCCTAACCAGTAACTGACATAGGGTACTGGTGCAGATGCTCGGCGTCCCACAGCCCTGCTGGGAGACAACTCTGGGGCCACCTGCAGTCTTTCCTGAAGGCAGGAGAAAGGTGAGCCTACCTCCTGTGGCCTCTGCCTGGTCATTGTCTCTTTCCTGCCCCACATGACCATGCTGTCAAGGGTTCTTTCTCAGAATTCTTATATGCAAGTTTCAAAAAAATTATCCTCTCAGGGTCTGTCTCTTGGAAAACTAATGATATTAGAATGCTTTTTAACACTCAATGCGACTTTGAGTTCCATAGTTCAGGGCAAGGAATCCTTAAATGTGTTTCAATATGGCCTTTCTGTATAGGTACTAGACTCACAGTAAAGTCTGTAGAATTAAAACATCRATGGCCCAGAAGATCAGAAACAAGTCGTGGACCACCGTGAAAAACCGGGCATTGTGAAACGTATTCTAAGAACTTACTATGCTGTAGGGCCAAAAATAAAAGCCAAATGCAAAAAAAAAAAAAAAAGGCAGAATAAAATTGGGGCTGAACATAGGAGAAGTTCTAGAATTTTCTAGAATTTCTAGTGTTTCTTTTCTAAGAAATTTTCTGGAAATTCTAGAAAATTCTAGAACCTTTCCTATGCTCAGCTCCATGTTTTTTCTCACCCGGATACTTGGAGTGATAAATATTTGCTACACAATTCTATTACTGAGAAGAAAATAAGATCACGTGTGTTGTGTTGTGTTTTTTTTTTTTTATATTACCTTTAAAGTTTGAAGACTATAAGATTCTAAATTGACAGAGGATATTTGTTTGCTGCCTGCATTTTACTTTTTTCAGAAGCCCAATTCTTGCTATTTTTACTTCATCTAATTGGAAGTGGTGCCAATAGGAGAGAGCTCTGGATCAGATGTGGCCATGGGAGGTTTGCACACCAAGGTCACCTTGATGGTCCAGCATGGAGCCAAGACAGACCAACCTAAGGCATGCAGACTCAACTCTGTAGCTACTTTCCAAGAGTGATTGATGTCAGGATGTCTTTGCTCTGGGTTTTTGAGTGAGATACTAACTTCAAGCTTCTAGTCCATAGTTTACCAGAAATGCATTAAGCAAACACAGAAGAAGCACACTTGGAATTCTTTGCACACACCTAGGTCAAGTCATTCCTGGTGCAAACAAAGCAACAAAGCAAAACAAAACAACTCTTGGAACATTCTAGTTTATCAAAACATTCCCTTTTTGTCTTCAGCCCATTTGAATCATTTTCCTGCTGCTTTCAACCAAATGTGACCTCACAAATAGATCCAGGACACAAGGGTAGCTGGCTTTACCTTCTACCAGTGTGATTGAATTGTACGATAGGGTGGATTCCTTCTGCATTTGATATCCTCTGTTCAAGATATTTTAGAAGTCTTCAAGCAACCAACCCACAAAAATAAGGACTCAAAAGTTCCAAGAATTTCATATTCACACACACAAAAAAACGAATGGGAGATAAAAGAAGTTTTATAAGATTTCATAATTAATAATTAGATGCTCAGAATTTTCTCGGATCTGTTATATCATTGCTGTGTATGAATATCATGATTCTATTGATTATCCCTAGTCATGTGTAATGGTTTAGATATGACGTGTCCTCCGAAAGCTCCTGTGTTAATAGAGGAATGTTCAGAGGTGAAACGATGGGAT